AAAGAAGGAACGAATGTTGGAGAAAATCCGCTGCGATCCAAACCGCTCGTGCGCGCAGGGTGTAAACCCGAAACAAGAAAATAAAGAAACCCTAGGATAAAGATCACAGAACACAGCAGAACAAAACACGTGGGCCTTTTATAAAGAAGGGAACATCACGTGTTTAAACCCCAAGTTGCCCTACGGATTCTGTAACAAGTACGGTAACAAAACAACCCAGACTTAGCCAACCACAGCGAGGGTAACCCTAAGTGATAAACAGGTTGGCAAGTGGGGGGGGGGGGGCGCAAGTACACAGAACAAAAACCTCGTGGCCCACTGTAATCTGCCAGACACGCATTCACTTAACAAAACTACCTTCTGTCCGAGGCCAGCCAAGTGCCAAATCATGGATGAAACCCTGACTTAGGACCGAGGGAGTGGCAATGTGCTGTTTGGTGAGGGCTGTGAAATGTTAGAATGGTGGTTAACAGGAGAAAAACCTACTTCAGAGCCACTTTGTCCACCACGGATATCACTTGATGTCACATGGGACTGAACCTAAGGAACTCCCTCATTCAACACATAAAATTGAGGAGGGATTCTTCTCTTCACCACAAAGTCCAGACCTGCTCTGGGGCTCACCCAGTCTCCCGCCCAATCGGGCAGGAGGAATGTGACACTCACTACAATTTTAAGGCCTGGCCGATGAATGCGCGGGGAATTTGTTCGAGTCCATAAGAACTGAAGGGGCGTGTGGTGTTGGTTCGTGAAAGCCCTCCTTGACCTAGGTACGTCATATGAGATTTTTGTATTTCTGAGCTTTTAAATTGCGGATCCGAAATGGTTAAACTTTAATATGGCTGTCTTCTGGGATGCTGCATCGCTCAGTTAGTAGAAACTGTCTCGTTTCCGACGAAACGTCGGGCAGTATCTACCAGACTGCATGGTACAACCACCCCGAAGACAGCCATCTTCATATTCGTCGTCGTGAGAACCTGAAATCTCACTCTTCTCCTCCTTTGCTTTTTTTTCTACAGACGGATACAACACAGCTCCCACTACTCCTGTCGCACTTCCCCTCACGCGCAGCCCAGGGGTCAGGACTAAAAGGTCGCACAGTACACTATTTTAATACGACACGTATATTACCACAAGACATAACTCTGTCTGTGTTACAATTAGAACAGGTCTCTCAGGGCATGTTTAACTGCCTGTCGTGTATACATAAATGCCTGATGGGGAGATATTTATAGTGTTCAGTATCGTCTTATCACGCAATCGCGTCATTCTATAGGACAATGAAAACAGTTAAATGCCTAATTTAAATTCTTATTTTTATTAAATAATAATAAAAAAACAAATTTGTTAAAGAAAATTTGCTGTAATATGTTAATAAACTTCCATGATGGTTCAATAAATTATCATGGTGGTTCAAAAGTCAATAAGAAAGATTTAATGTGGTTCCAAGTCTTTGTTGAGAACTCCTGGTATATACAGAGCTGGCACAATGGAACGTGAAATCGAGACTGGCAAGTTCTATAAGAAATCATCATAAATAAATAGTACAGACCAACGGTGATCAACACCATTATGTTGCTAATATACACAAATGCATTATTTCAGTTCAGTTAGTAGTAGTTTAATGAAATGTTGTTCATTATTTATCAGAATTATCGGTATGAGTTTGGTGCCACAACCAAATTATTCAATGCAGTTAACGTGTACTACCTCTCAAATATAACCTGAATTTTGAATACCATTACCACAATTAAAGAAACTGGTGAATAAAAATATTTCTCTGGTGTCAGAACTCCAAAACTCAAAAGGTCTAAAGTAAGGCAACTGAACTATTTGAAGAAGAAAAAACGTCTGGTATGAGAATCGGAAATTTCAATGTCGTGAACACAGATACACTGAGTGACAAACTCCATAACAACTCCCTGACGTTAGGACACAAGCTGGAAATGCTCTAAAAATAAAATTGAAGGATCACAGTGAAATAATATACAAACTGCAAATGAAGTGAGGGTTGTCGATGTTGGTCTTCTGTTCTCTCGCAAGCAGACACCACTGGCCACACAGCATTACAACCTCGAAGACTAATACCAACATCTGAACCAAATCTCATGAAATTAAAGACCTAACTCTGTATGCTTCTTGCTTGGTTAGAAATATAAAACTTCCTGTCGCAATCCTGTACCTCGGTTTTACAAAGTGCAAGAGAGGAGGGCAGGCATCCGTAGGTCTTCAAACATGACCTCAAAAATAAAATGCTGTTTCTGCTTCAGATTAAAAATATATGAATACTCTTGAACGCTGCAAATCTTTGAAGTAATATTTTCTCGGATTACAGGAAACAGCTGATGGCACCATCATACAAGCTCATCTACTTCAATGCCCGTGGGAAAGCAGAGCACATTCGGTTCATTTTTGCATATGCAGGAGTGAATTATGAAGATGAACGTATCAGTCAAGAAAAATGGCCTGAACTGAAACGGAGTGAGTCGCAGTGGACGATTGAATCTATGGATTGTAGACCTGTTCATTTTTCACGAAAGATCAGATGCCTTCTTGTGAACAATGGTCTTTCCTTTGTGTATCAAATGTATATAGTCTTTAAATCTGGGGAGTTGAGTAACAATGAGCATCTAAAAACAGACTGCGATCCACGGAGTTTGTTAATCTCTCTTACACTATATCCCATATATATATGCTTCACAAACATAAATTGCGACACTTAATATACAGTCCACGACTGTAATCTTGCGACTTGCGGGGTGAGGAAGTGGGGTGAAGGAGGAAAGACAACGGCTGCCTTTAACGCTATGGACGTCCTGCATTCCTTGCAAGTCTCAACATTACAGTCGTGGACTGTATCATGTAATATTAATTTTCTTGTAGCGTAATCATCAGTTTTGAAAAATGTACTCAAATATGATGCATGCAAAATGACCATCTCATGAATCTTTTCACTTTATGTTAAACTGTAAGACATTTTGGTTATTTTATTTCAGCTCAAGAAAACTGTAACTTGTGTACTGAAACTGGTATGGAGTAAAAACTTAGACTTGACTGAACTAAGACCGGTTGTTAATATGTTCTTAATACTGCTTAGAAATGCCGTTTGGGATGTTACCGGTTCTGGAGATAGACGGAAAGCCCGTAGGACAGTCCAACGCAATCGCCCGTTACCTGGCAAAGCAGTGTGGGCTGGCCGGTCGTGATGAGTGGGAAAGCCTGCAGTGTGACATGCTAGTTGATACACTTACTGACCTTAAACAAGGTATTACACTTCAAACTCCTGTAATTATGTTATGAAATATACACAGTGATACTGTAACAACTCATGTTCAACCCTAAACAGGAACGCAGCTGGCAGCAATACTTATTAGTGTAAGAAGCTTTAAATAATAACATGTCTTTACTTCTATTTGCATTTGATCTTATTTTTGGCAATTTGTTTTGGTAATAATAATTTAAGCACAACACTCTACAGTCACAAACATTCCCTTTCTAAAATATTAACACTAAAGGATATGTTATATTGTCTGGTTTTCTAAGATCAGTTTCAAACTCACTTTGAATACTAAACTTTTATGCTAAACACTAAGGTCTGTAAACAGAATAATGACAAACTAATCAATTGCCTGATGATGCGGAATCAACTCCCAAACATCATGTACATAAAATGTATCTCAAATAATGGACAAAGTCCAACATAAATGCAGTGTACTGATGCTTGTTACTGTTCAGAACTGTTCCAGTACAGGATGGAACCAGACCAGTTCAAGAAGGAAGAACGGAAGATAGTTCTCATGAAGGAGAAGATCCCATTTTACCTCAACAAATTTGAGAAGGTGGTAACAGAGAACAGGGGGTATTCGGTCGGAGGAGCAGTGAGTGTCAATAAAAGTTTTCATTAAAAATTTATTGAAATTAACAAATGACTACCAAGGCCAGCACAATGAGCATTGAGTGACAGATTCTTAGGTTACTGTAGTTAATGATTTTTTACTGCAGAGTTTAGGAGAATATCTGGATCCAAGAAGGATGAAGTGACAGTATTAAGTATCTGACATGGCAAAATTTAGTGAGGTATTTGACAGGTCAATTACAATGGTGTCAATTCAGGAACAGAAACATTATAATGGCAGACTCTATTAAACACATACAAGCCACTAGAAATAATAAGTTTCTAAAAACTAGTGAAGTAATCGTGCATAAAGTAAGATAATTTACGTTGCTATTGTAAAAGTAGTTTCTTTTCTTGTTTCAGCTGACGTGGACAGATTTCGTGTTTGCTGTATCACTGGAGAACTTTGAACTAATATTTGGAAAGGAATCTTTAGACCGGTACCCATCTTTAAGAGCTTTAAAAGAAAAGGTGTTCAATTTGCCAAGCATACAAGGCTGGCTACAGAAGAGACCAGCAACAGATTTCTGAAGATCTGGCCTTGTCAAGTATCCTGCAGCATACTGCAATTTGGTATATCTCAAATCATGAGCATACTGATTCATTACACATGTTTGTGTTGCACTGTCACAAGAAGGAATGCTGTTCAAATTTTAAACATCATGTTAGTTGTGAGGAATCCGGTGCAGCATGGAACCTCACTTCAGACACAGAAATTTCACTAACTCAAATTTGTAACTGAATTGACAAAACTTAAAGCTCACCTTACAATTACAAACAAATATAATACTGAAGCTCATACTGTTAATCAATGTCTACAACTCTATAAAACATACTTTCCATACACTAATGATCTGTAGTCACTCTTCAGTGAAGTAGTGCTTTCAACTATTGAAAGTGTTAAAAGTGGAGACTTCTGAAATTTGGAAATGATCCCTGAAATCCCAAATCAAAGCTTGATACCATCTGCCCACTCAAATATCTCTCTCCTATTTTTTTCTTTCTTATTACCAAATACAGGGATTCCAGAACACAAGTCTCAAAAATAATACCAAATTGAAATAATTCATCAGTCTATAGACCATGAGATAGTTTGCCTTTATCAACTCGACTGATTGCACTGTAATGACAAGAAATATTATTTACTTACCAACTCTTTCTAGACAGCATCTGAATATAAAACCTGAAAAGAGAACAAATAATTTCTCTGAAACATTGAAATATTACGAGTGCAGTCATTGGATATTTGAAGCTCATATTCCTCAGATGCAGATTTTGTTTACTGCCATTTATTGGCAGTCATGATGAAGATTAAGAAATCATAATATTGAAATATGAAACATAATTTAAAAATGGGAAAGTTTCTTAATAACATAAAGTTATGGCTGAAGTACTGAACATGTTACTGTAAAGAAAACTTGAAAATTTTTGATATTATGGTAATATTAAGAATGACACTGGTTACTCAAGTTATAAGAAATGAAGTGTAATAACAATGTCTATACACATCTTAACAAATTTATAATATTAGATTACATATCAAGATACCGTAACATATTTGGTCTGCTAGTTCCTGATTGTGATCAGTTATTTTGTACTTAAAATATTAGTGCTCCATTTAACTCTAGCTCTGTAGCAATAAACATCTCACAACCTACTTTTCAGTTTTAAAAATTATTAAAATATGCCTAGTCAAAATTCGTACAATAATTCAGAATAGAAAAAGGCTATATATATAGTTTTATACTTAATATTATAATTATTTTAAATTATTACTAAGAAAGACTTATATAATTTCATTTGAGAAAGTATTTGACATTCCACCTTTCAAAACATTAATTAATACCAATTTATACACTGGAATGTATATCTACTTATATATTTGATATAATTTTACTGAATTACCTACATAAAAATATTAGAAGTTTTGTGGATCCATGTCCCAAACAATCCAATCTTTAATTCTGGAAACAACAAACACTTGATTTTCATTAAACAGTTTTAATACTGTAGAAAACCACTGTCCTTAACCTAATGTTCAAAGCTGCTACAGCATGGACCAGGCCCTTCCTTTTCCCTGAAGCTCTGGTCCACTCTAACATGATGATGGCAGTTCTTTAAACTGGACCCATACTGTCTGAGACTATATGTAATATAAACAGTTTTAGAATTAAGTCGGTTTTGAGGTTTTCACAGCAATGAGTCTGAAGATAGCTGTCTTCTGGGTTGTTGTCCCATGTAGTCTGGTAGAAGTTTACTGACGTTTCAGAGGTCCTTGCTCCCTCCATAGGGCAATCATCACCCAGAAGACAGCCATCTTCAGTTTTGGAATTATTGAACCTGGAGGGTGGCTGATAACAATCAAAAGAATGTGAGGAAAGAGAATAATGGTATGAATATAAGAAATAGTTCAATTTACTTTTGTGAAAAGTCAGAAATAATTTCATTTGCCAACATGTAGCAGATGTGTCCTTTTACCAAGCCAACGAACAAAAGTTATGGCCACAAAATTAGTACAACTGTTTCATATTTTGGTGATGTACTCCCTGCTCTGTGCATGAACCACTGCCTAAATGTTATCAGTTACATATACTTTTCTGTGTGATCACACAGAAGCAATCCTTCAAAGTGACTTTCCCACAGCACAGTATTTTCAATTGTAATATACAAAGGGGAAAGGTAGTGTGTCATTTTCAGGAACCAAATCTGCACATAACAGGTGAACTGCTTGTAGCATGATCTATTTCATTGATGGTGAAAGAATATTCTAATAATTAAGAAAGGATAGCGTATATTTATGTGTGTACAGTACAAGTTTAAATGTTGATCACATGTTATAGAATGTGGTATAAACACAATTAAATTACTTAGATTATATAAAACTAAACTGGCTGTTGTAAATGGCTGAATTCAACTAATGGATTGTTCATAACATAGTACTGCAGAGAATCATATTTTCTGCATAGATTTAAAATAATACATTAAGGATATAGTACTTATTAAAATATTTTTCCATTGTGGGTTGAATAAATAAATTATATAATTTTCATAGAAATTGTAAGCTAATATTTTGTGTTAGATATTTTTATGTGAAATAACTCATGTAGTCTGTATTTTGCCAGAAGTTAGGGAACAAATATATTAATGTGCAACACTGTATAGCTGAATAAAAAGTCTTTTGTTTTCTAAGATTGTATGTTGCATTGCTTTCTAAAAAAAAGAAGAATGTGAATTGTCCACATGCATGTAACTACTTGAAAATAGACAAACAAATTTTGATTAAATTTGACACTGGAGAATTATAAAAAGTGGAGCTATTTCATTTACATCAAACAATTTTTATGACAAGTCTACATACGAACATATACACGTTTTTGGATAATCTCTAATAAATACTTGTGAAAATCTGTATAAATGGATTTTTGACTAATTTGGATAAAAATAAATGGAAAAGTTGCGACATACAGACATGATCGGGCCAGAAAGGGGTTCTTTGCCTTCATCATTGCTCTGATGCAGACAGCAAGCACCTCTGAAACGTCGGTAAACTATTACCACACTACATTGTGCTACAAACCAGAAACAACCATCTTCATTATTACCTATGGTTTAAAGTACTTCCTGATGTATAACAAAAATAACAAATTACAGTAAATACAAAAATACATACTGTCATAATAAATGAGGAAAACCGACGAAACAATGAATCTAACATTAAACACTTCCACCATTAAAGCGCGCACTTTTCTGAGAAACATCCGTCCGTTTTCAAGGGTGCAATATCGATCTAGTTGTTCATTTTTTCTCGTTGATCGCTTCGGACCTTCGATTCGTATAGATTAAAGTTATTTATCTCGCAATTTTGTGGTATTAATCGATATTTACTTTGTTTGGCTATGTTGGTAATTCGCACAGGAAATACCAACATTAAAGTTGTTTGGCTCATTTCACATGTGGTTCATTGATTACATGCATAAAGTTAGGTTACACATTGCGAGGAATTTGCTGGTGTTTTGTTCCGGAAGCTTCTGTGTACGAACCGAATATCATAAATCCGTTACACTACACTACAAGTTGTTACGTGTGAAGGTAGTTGTTTTTAGTTGTCATTTTTTTTAATGCATGACCTATAAAATGGTATAATTTGTCATTTCATGATATTGTGTGTTTCAAAGTCACGAGTCAGTTAAATGGACGTGTATTAGTCTAGTAACAAGAAAATGCAGATGTGGCAAGTCCCATCTTTATAATAACACCTTTATTCATATAATCCACACCATCTCTTCCTTACCTATCTTTTTAATTCTTTAGTGTTGTTGGAAAGGTGCAGAGGCTTCAGACAGTGGCAAAATAGTAGATCCCTCTGTTAGATGGTCATTTCAGCAAAGGACTTATTTTTTAATTAGTACAAATTAAATCTAGTTGAACAAATTCATTGCTAGAATGACTGTCTCTTGTGGCTTCAAAGTTATTGAAGTTTAAATACCGTTCTCTTGGCACAAAGTCACACCAAGGCTAGACATTGGCACAATTTCAGGGACAGAATTCATGAACTTTGCAAGCTGTTATGACCTCCAATTATTGCAATGTAATGATTAATTCTTGTTATCTCATTTATGTTTGCAGAAGAGGTTGATCTGAATTAAGAAGTTATATCTGTGTATGCATTGACAAAACACGGTAAGTTAGTGTAGTATGATGTGGTGATGTGGGGGATTATGCTAGTGATGACAGAATGTCAGATATTGGGTTGCCATACACTTTTAAAAGGATCATATTAAAATCTAAGTTTTGTAATATTCTTATCACATTCAGTCAACATCATAAATGTGATGTGGTTCTAACACTTACATTAAACAAAAGTGGTGCTTGTTGAGTGTAGGATCTCCGAAATAGCCCTCATTTGGTTAAGAAAACATTGCCGGTACATTGAGGTTATGTTTAATGATTTTAACACAGTTTTCTGAGTTACTCATATTTTTAACAAAACATACTGATACCATGTACTGGTGTTTAGCACCACAAAAGCGCACTGCAAATATATTTCAGTGTATATAAAGTGAATCAAAAGTTATAGTGAAATAAAATATCTCATCAGTGTTCTATGTGGTCTTACACTATGGTAGTACCTTTTCCACCTTATAAGGGATTATTTTGGCAGATTATCATGGATTTGCTTGTTTTATGATATAAAAATTAATTTTACTTTTCCATGCACATCAGCCCTAATTTTTTTGTCAATCCTAACAGCATTAAACCTCTAAAACAGCTTTAAGAATATCCCATATAACACTTGAGCAACATTAAAGTTTATTCACATATAAACTATAGCTGTTTGAGTTAGTGCTCTTCACTTTGCTAACTTTATTTATGTCCTCATTAAAAATTTCCCTAATCTGAAGTTTTATCTCATAATAAACTGCATATAAAATCATATTAATCTACTGTCTCTGCTGCTATTACAGTTACATCATGATACTGGCTCATCAAGAAATCAAAGTCCATTGGGAACAAATATCTTGATTCATTATTTATGATGCATGAAGAATTTGAAGCTTGCATCCTATGTTAGGGAACCACAGCTGTTTTCTGAGAAATCAGTTTGTTTCTGGGCATGCTCAGATAGCTTCATCATTACGATATGTGTGGAATGAAGGAGGTTCACCGAAAGTTAGCGGTGGGCAGACAGAAGAGAAAGTTAGAAGTCTGTCAGATGCATATCCAATAACAAATCAAAATATAATCTCACTACAGGATGTAGCTACTCATTCTACATCAGATGTTAAAATTATTAGCAAACCTGCTGCAGCAAGAAGCCATGAGTTGTCTAAATGCACACCACATTGCAGCAGTACCTCCTCTGGTACTTTGACGAGAGTTGAATCAGAAAAGGTTGCCAGGCATGGGGTTGGTGTACAGAAATTAAGTGCTCCTGTTAAGAAGGAAAATAAACTGAAACATGGTAAAACAAAGGTTATTGTAGATAATGAAGAACTTACAGAAGATATGAAACAAGGAATGGAGGAAGATAAGGCACCAAGGATAAATGAAATGAAAATACAGATGCTGTCTAAAGGCTTATTCCAGCAATTATTTGGAAAAGAGAACTATAAAAGGCCAACTCAAGAACAGATTGTAAGGGCTCAAGAAGAATTGAAAAAGCATAAACTTCTTTCATCTGAGAAGGCTTTTGTTGAAGATGTTAACTTCAAACTTCCTCCCTTAGAGGGTGATAATTTACATAACCATTTCCATATAATAGGTGAGCAACAGAGTCGTCCATATAGAATTCTTCTTGAAGACCTAGTTGCTTACTTGCCAGAAGCACCAAAAGAATGGCTTCTTCAGCCAGGTTGGACCAAGTACAGTAGAGATACAGCTCCTCAGTCAGTCACGTTTCCAGACGAAGATGCACTTGTGTTTGATGTGGAAGTTTGTCGTAGTGTGGGAGAGGCACCAACTATAGCCACAGCTGTCAGTCCTCATGCATGGTATGCTTGGGTGAGTGATGCAGTCATTAGTGGCAACAGTGGGACGGGTGGGCGACATTATTCAACCAAAGACTTGATCCCATTAGAGAGTGGCCCTTTGCAACGTGGTGTAGGTCATGGGATCTGTAAACCAAGAGTGCTAGTTGGCCACAATGTTTCATATGATCGAGCTCGAATAAAAGAACAGTATTGGCTTGAAGGTACTGGGATGCGATTTGTTGATACTATGTCACTTCATGTATGCGTAAGTGGGATTACAAGTTACCAAAGAGCCCTTCTGAAATCATCTGCAACAAATACTGCTGATGAGTCTGAGGTGGATGTTAACAAGAAAGATGATGAATGGCGAAATTATAGTTCTCTTAATAGTTTGAGTGAAGTTCACAAACTGTACTGTGGAACACCTCTGAACAAGATGACACGAGATATATTTGTTAATGGCACACTAGAAGATGTTAGCACGCAGTTTCAAACTGTCATGCATTACTGTGCTGGAGATGTTATTGCCACACATAATGTTATACGCAAACTGTTGCCACTGTTCCTGTTCCGTTTTCCTCATCCTGTTACGTTAGCTGGAATGTTAGAGCTTAGTACTGCATACCTTCCAGTTAATTCTAACTGGAATCGTTACTTGACAGATGCCCAACAGACCTTTGATGATTTTGACAGTGAAGCAAGATTTTTATTGGCTCGACGGGCAGATGAGGTTTGCCAAATGCTTCATGAAAATAAGTATCGTGAAGATCTCTGGATGTGGGATCAAGACTGGAGTATTCAAGAGTTAAAGCTTAAGAAGACTGTTTCTAAGAAAAGTAAGAAAATTGACTGTAATAAGCAGAAATCTCAGTATTCGGATGATGAAAGAGTTCAGGATGTGGCAAGTGATAGTGAATTTTCAAAGAGAAGTATAAACAGAACAGATCTTAAAGGACAAGACATGCACATGTGTAATGAAACTGGGGAAAATATTTCAAGCACTTGTGATGAAGATGAGAGTTATGATGAAAACGATGAATTAAGTGACAAGTTTCAGTACCTTACAGAGACCAGGAAACTTCTTCCTGCTAAAATGCCACATCTTCCTGGGTACCCAGCATGGTATCGAAAACTTTGTCATAGGCCAAGTGAACCTGACTGGATTCCTGGACCTCAGCTTATTAGTACATCTATGCAGATCACACCAAAGCTGCTGTGCCTCACGTGGGAATCTTATCCATTGCATTATGTACGAGGGAATGGCTGGGGATTCCTTGTTCCATACTGTATTAGCATTGCAAATGTGAGTGACACATCCCCACAGGTTCCACTAAAAGAGCTCCTAGAACATTGCAGCATTGCAGATGAAAGCTCTTTAATTGCAGGAGCTAATGAAAGTGAGGCTGCTTTTTCAGTCCTCCATCAGGCTGTTGAGCATAATGTCTCAGTGAGAGCTTTCCACAAGACCAGAAAGACAGATGAGAAACCAAACTGGTACAAAGGTACTGGTGTTTGGTGCGGTGTAGCTGTGGGTGGCTGTTGTTGGTTTTTGAAACTGCCACATAAAGATGGGAGTAATCATAGAGTTGGTAATCCTTTGGCCAAGGATTTTCTGAACAAGTTTTCAGAGAATGTGTTGGCTGGCACTGATGCGGGAGCAGAGAAAGTGCTGGCCATTGGGCGAATGTTGTCATATTGGAGAAACAATCGAGACCGTATTGAACAGCAGCTTGTAGTATGGATGGGTATGCGAGATTTACCACGATCACTACGTGGATTGGATACTGAATTTGGTGCTATAATACCACAAGTCATAGTCTGTGGAACACTAACACGTCGGGCTGTGGAACCGACGTGGATGACAGCATCTAATGCTCACAAGGAGAGAATTGGTTCAGAGGTTCGTGCCATGGTGCAGGCTCCTCCAGGATACAGTATTGTTGGTGCTGATGTGGATTCACAAGAATTATGGATAGCATCTATAATTGGAGATGCCCATTTTTCAAAAATACATGGTGCTACACCATTTGGTTGGATGACCCTCAGTGGCAGGAAGACAGATGGAACTGACATGCATAGTGTTACAGCTAAAGCTGTAGGCATTTCAAGAGACCATGCAAAGGTGATCAATTATGCACGAATTTATGGTGCAGGTCAGCAGTTTGCTGAGAGACTCTTAAAGCAATTCAACCCTACAATGTCAGAAAATGAAGCAAAGGGAAAGGCTAGAAAAATGTTCACACTAACCAAAGGAAAGAGAATGTACCGACTTAAGGAATCATATCGTGATTTTCTGGAAGATCGTTTGTATACAATGACAGAAGCATTGAAACTTAGGGCAAAACATGGCATAACCTTAGAAGAAATGTTTGAGCACCCACAGTGGGTTGGTGGCACAGAATCAGCTATGTTCAATTGCCTGGAAGAGATTGCAAACAACAAGGCACCAGTAACACCATTTCTTAGTGGACGTTTAAGCCGTGCACTGGAGCCCAAGAATGGTATGGATGATCGCTACTTGCCAACACGTGTAAATTGGGTTGTTCAGAGTGGTGCTGTAGACTTCTTACACCTCATGTTGGTTAGCATGCGTTGGTTGCTGGATGCCAAAGCTCGATTTTGCATCAGTTTCCACGATGAAGTTCGGTACCTTGTGCCAGATGAACAGAAATATCAAGCTGCTCTTGCCTTACATGTCACCAACTTACTAGCTCGTGCATTCTGTGCACAGCAGTTGGGTCTGTATGATCTGCCACAATCTGTAGCATTCTTTACATCAGTGGAGGTGGACACTGTTCTTAGGAAAGAAGCACATCAGGACTGTTGTACACCATCAAACCCACATGGTCTTAGCAGGGGCTATGGTATACCTCAAGGAGAATCTATGGATATCTACCAAGCACTGAAAAAAGCTGGTGGAGCCCTTAGAGGTGCTAATCAGAGGATGAAGAGGAGGTATCTGCACCTAGTATCTTTTACTTAACTTAAAAATCCTTTATTGGATATTATTATGAATTGTGAGATATCAAACATGATATATGGAATGATTTGCTTGCATGTAGTGGGTTGGGACGTTTGTCCTCTTGATGAGGCCAGCGAGACTTTATTAAAATAACTTTTCAGCAGAAGGTTACTTGAAGAATATGTATGAAAAATGAAAGTTCCCATTTGAGGATTTTGTTTACAAAACATGATAGTGACATGAACACAATGTACACAGCAACAGGAAGCTAATAATGCCTTTGCATGGTCTTTCTTGCAGACCTGCTGGTGTCGCTGAAGTTACAATTGGACAACTGGTTGATACCAAAACACATAACTCAACAGTTCAGCAATAAAAGGCAAGAAAGAGTATGTCTACACTTACAAAAGGATTACCTTATCATAGGATGGTGGTGCACACTTTGTTGAAAAGGTTACAAGGTTAAGCTCTTTCATCAGTAACTTGAGAAGAAAGTTGTTTGTACTTGTACTCTTTGGATTTGCATTATTTGAATGAAGAAACTACGACATCAACCTAAAGCTGCTGATAGCTTTGAACTGTGTAAAGCCACTGGAGGATTTTTACACGTCCAGAATTCAAGCCTGACATAGACTCTATAAGCAATTTAATAGCCAATGGTCTGCTGTTGTGGGGGCACATGTGATATATAAACAAGTCTCCATTCCTGACTTACTGCATAGAGCAGAGCCCATATTAAGAAGCTCATAGTATGTTCAGCTATTTAAATAATCCCCCATGTCTAGGGAACCAAAATGTTCACAATCACATGCTACTAGATTCCCCCTTCCACCTATCCTTATCCTGAGCTATATGAGTCCAGTCCACAACCTCCTATCCTGTTTCCTTAAGATCCGTTTTAATATTACCCTCCTGTGTTGCTCCTTTCATTTGTGTATTTTATTGGCTGTTATTTTTCATGTCTTGTTCAGTGAAGATTGTCACTTTTGATGTTCCAGATATGTCACGAGCAACAAAAAGGAAGCATGTAATCAAGGAGGTGCTTCTGGATAACTTGGAATTACCAACAGAGAATCAAGAGGTAGTTCGTGTGCTTGCCAGCAGGGGAAATAATCTCCATATGGTTGAAGAGGCTACAGGATCACAGTTCCTTGTGTCAATGCCAACCAAATTCCGCCACAATGTCTGGATTAAACGTGGTGACTTTGTATTGGTAGAGCCAATTGTCGAAGGAGATAAGGTCAAAGCTGAAATAGTTAGCATCCTTACAGCAGAACATGTGAAGTTCTTCCAGGAAAACAACCAATGGCCAGAACAGTTTCTTGAGAGAAAGGACAATGAAGAGAAGGATGATTTGTTTGTTAATACAAACAGGATGCAGCAGTATCGTACTGCTAGCACCAGTAGCAGTGATAGTAGTGAAAATTGTTGCGATGATGACACAGATACACAAGACACTTAATTTCCACAATCATAAGTCACATGTTGGCTCTTGATTGTCAGGTTTATGCTAATGTAAACAAAACATAGGGTAATCACTTTTGGAATAGCACGAACCCAGAAATGTTGGACATAAATTATCTGATATGGCAATAATTAATAAATTCTATCACTGAAATTTGTAACATGATGATACCATTATAAATTATGAACATTAAATTTTTCACCATTGAGGAATATGGAAAATGTATACTGTATGAAGATAAATAATCATATTGTTTCGTTGATTTTCACCTGACACAGTTTGTGCAAAATGGAGTATCTCTATGTGCCAATGATTGCAATTGTCACATTTGGTGGCATTATTTTGGTATGGAATTTTGAATACAGACTTCTGTTTCTGTCAGTATAGTGACTGACTATGAGCTGGATGATCAGAGTTCAATCCCCGATGGGCAGAGGATTTTCTTCTAGCCTCTGCATCCAGACCAGCTCTGGAGCCTACCCAGCCTCCTGTTAACTGGGTACCAGGGGCCCTTTCCCCAGGGGTGAAGTGCAGCCAGGGCATGACACTGACCACTCACCACCATCTAGTGCCAAGGTTGAGAATGAGCAAGAGCTATACGCCTCTCCCCCTGAGCACCACATCACATGTAGTGGGATATCAATAATACTGTGTGTCACATTCACAGTTTTACTGTTATGGGTGTTTTAATGTCTGAAGTACAATAATTTTTAACATAGATTTTGCAGAGGAATTATGATTTATGCACATAAGTGCCTGTTATATACTGGAAAGACAGCAGATGTGTAGATGTCCAAAAAGAAAGGATAGCATAGTGACCAATGAACATGATTTTGGTAGTACGGGAAGTTAAAGTAAACAAGCTGAAGATCATGATAAATTAAAAAATTACTTTCAAGACGTGTTGATTCCAACTGGTCATTTCTATGCCATTGCTCAGGAGTTTAAAGTTCTATATAGATTATGTGTAACAAACTATCTGAATGAAAACTGAAAATCTGTGGCTGTATAGTATTTGTATTTTCATATAGTTCATGATTTGTAGCAAAGATTTTTGTATTATAAAACATTGAACTTCTTTACAGTACTGTATTTTTCATCTTCCCCAAGAAACCTATATTCAGTATTTGCTTACCTTTTTGTACTGCTCATTTGGAATGATGTGCCACATAGGATGTGTGAGAGGGATCACAGAGTACCTGATATTGAGACTGCCAACTGCTGTTTGGTGTGTTCTTGGGTGAAAACTGTGTCCAGGACATTACGTGGCTATCCAGTAATAGTTGTATGCAAGCCTGCACATTTCCTGTAAATTTAGGAGCCAATATATATAAACCAGAAATGGAAATAACATTCAGATAAGATGTTTATCAACACTGAAGCTGCCACCAATGTGACGGAATCAGAATAATGATGAGCAGAAAATTCTAGAAGCTGTCATGGAAATTTTAGGTGCCATAGCTACCTGGCAATCCACATTTGTGCAAGCCTGAGTATATGGTATGTCACATCAAATCAAATCACACCATCTCTCACAGTACAGAATTTCATATAGAGGCATGAACAATGACTGTATTACCAAACAGTTGTAGTATGAAGGCCCAAAAAAAGAAGATTCAGTGATTTTTAAAAAAACAAGCACACTTGTCTTATCACAAGAGGATTTGCATAGAGGGAGAAGATAAAAAGTTATATATAAATATAAAGGAATAATAGATAGAGAAAAAATACTGATTTTACAACTGACATGTAATGCTATAAAGTAAGCGCCATTACTCCAAATTATTCATTGTCCGTTTTAGTTAATGAAAAATAGGATGTTTCTTCTGACTGAAATAGAATTGTCTTAGTCATACTATAACTTGGCTCCATAAAACATAACAGTGTGTTTACCTTTTTATAGAACTATCCCTATATTGATGCATTAAACCTTACTTGGGTTTAGTGTAAAGATGACTTAGTGGAGCAAGTTCCTGGATATATTTATTGTTATTTTTATTCAGAAGCCAGCAGGTATTCAAGTATTTGTTTACACAAGTCGAGTAACTAAACAGTGATAATTCATTCCAGTAACTTGTCATCACGTCAAACCTGTGTAAACAAGCCTTTAATGTAACCTTATCTCAATACACAGTACATACGTGCTATGTAGATATAAGTTTCAATGATTTGAGGTTTTCACAGCGGTATGAAGATTTCTGTCTTCTGGGTTGTTGTACTGTGTAGTCTGGTCGATGTTAACCAACGTATTCGTCGCCCTGATGACAGAGGCAGTATGACCTCTGAAATGTTGGTTAACATCAACCAGACTACACAGCGCAACAACCCAGAAGACAGAAATCTTCAAGTTTCAATGATTCTGTATATATGTAAAGAATTTACTAATACTACTCCATTGCTTCTATATACTACAGAGTGATAAACTTCTATGCATCCTCAATATACAGACTACACTGCACAGCTATATTGACAGTATGAGCTCTTTAAGAAATCATTATTGTTTCCAGCTGTTGCAAAGTCCATGTAATATCTTATTAGCTACTATGAAAAATCATTTGAAATATAAACACCTGTCATTACACACATACAAAAGCATACAGTAATCATGTCCTTCATTGTTTGTTCATAATTAAAGAAATAAGTATGATCTTTCAGGATTTGAGGTTTTCATGGTGATGTGAGCATATATGGTGGTCTTCCAAGTTTTTGCAACATATAGTCTTTTGGCTAAACACCGTTGCGAGGAACACCTCAGAAGACCACCATCCATAAATACAATACTGTGCTAAAAATGCATTTCAGATTCACTCAGACTCTGGGACACTGGATAATTTCTTACCAATAACCAATCTGTGACAAAAATTTCACACCAGACAGTGAAGAGCTTCACCATCCCTTCTGTATACAGCCAAGTTGCATTACAGAAGTCATGCCTTAGTAGACATTGTAATAATGTGCTGGCTGATGTAGCCTATTAAACACCCCAGGGGCAATATTTGGGAATGGAACATTAATGGAATGATGGCTGGAAGGTAGAAACAAAAGTACTTGCAGAAAAACCAAACTCCCACTTTGCCTACCACTATACCATAAATACAGCTACTTTATTCAGAACTAAGGTAAAGAATGCTCATTATTATTCAATTTATGAACTGTTTTAATCTGTCTACTTGCTGAAACACTGAATATCAGGCCATATAAAACAGAATTATGCCAGTTTTGTTATGTGTGTCAAACATGATAAGTGTTAAAGCATTTAGCTGGAGGGGAAAGGGCTGTATATAAACTTTTGGTATGAAAACCTGATGGAAAATGACCATCAGAAAGATCAAGATGGGAGGATAACAGTAAGATGCATTTTGAGGAAAAAGGCAGTGAGGATTCAAGGTGAACTGAAGTGGCTTGGGATCATGTCCAATGGCAGGCTTTGGTATAAACAGTGCTGAACCTTCAGGTTCTTCTATCAGTATGTCATACAGCTGCAACATAATTATTTTACTCAGTTAAAATGATGATATTCAATGACAGTGTATAAATATGGAGATACAATACTGAACTGCCTGCTCTGTAATGAAAGGGATGCTTTTAATATATATATATATATATAGTATATACAAAACAAATTTATGATCTATAAAAATGCAACAATTATGCCTCTTGCAAGAATTATAATAATGATTCCCATTATAAACTACTGCAACATCCTTGGATATATATTTCACGAGATGACAAATGCCACAATAGCTATACTATAATGAGCATATGTTTAATTCTTAAAATTAATACACAATACTAATTTCAAAATTCTTTGCCCCATACTTACTAAGTATACACATTTTGTTAATTTTCTCTTTCTCATTGCCTGACATCATCAAAAGAACAATGATTTGTATTTAAAAGCAAAATAACTTCCAGATCAACCTTCAATAATTCACACACACACAATACACAATTACATCATGTAAGTTAAAAACTTATGTGCGAGTGAAAAAATACGCCAATTCCTCTCTTGCGGCAATAATGAAATAAATGTTTTTGTACATTCACAACCATGAAACAAGAAGACAGAATTTGTGGTATATCAGTTGCACTACAGATCAGGGGTCAGAGATATAGAGGCCTAACTGCCTTTCCTATTGACACTGTCAAATCCATTCAGTGTATACATGACAACCAAATTTTAATATAATTATGTTAGGTTACAAGTAAATTGACTGAATTACAATACAGATTTAAAGACTGGATAAGTCCCAAATTCGGTACAGGAATAGAGCATCCACAGGCACCTTTATTTTAAGATACGAATTTCAGAATGCTTATACAATATTACTGTATAAGTGTCTGTCCATGGTCTAAAAGTACATATTTGCTTAGACATGATAAAAGAATGTAAGAATAAAAGGCAATAAGTCTTTAAACATCAACAGAAAGAAAATACAGAACAAGAAGCACACTTTCCTTGAGGGTACTATGTTTTTCACACGTACTTGGGGTCTTGAGGGGCGAGACAGCAAGTGAAAGCTGCATGAATAACCCAGAGAAGAAAGCCTCAGTACTACTGTGTTCTACCAAATAATTTTTGTTTCTGCCTACGCAAGCAGTATGTAGAGGGCACATTTCACAAAGTTATATAAAAAGACTCCGGGTTATCCATGTTGGTTGTGAAATATATTTTCCTGGATAATAAAAAGAAACCAGGTAATCTGAAAAAAAATTGTTAACAAATACGTAAGTTTATTTACAGACATACACTACTTGTACTTTTAAAGATTTACTAATAACAGAAAAGATTTTATATACAATTTAATTCAGCACATACCAATTTTCTTTTTGAAAGGATTCCAATGGATAGTAATAACATTCTATTGTAAACTTCAAGTTTTAGCAATAACTGATTTTTGTTCATACATAATGTCATTGTTATATTTATTCCCTTCCTTCTAAATGTTATAACTTTTACGACAGATTTTTAAATTAATTTCAAATTTTCATTAAAC